GCATGAGAAGCAGAGGTAGCATTGACAGCGGTAACGGGAGTGCGCATCGAAGTCTACCTGGGTCAACGGAGATGGAGATGATTCCCCTATCCGCATACCGCTTCGCGATCTGCCTAGCGACGATCGCGTTCGCCTGCCATTTGTCAAGACATGATGCATCATTAGGTCTGTTTAATCAAAGCGATGCAACAGCCACGCACCAGCTTGCTTTGAAAATACAAGAATCTGACCGATACATTTTGTCGGGAGGTGCCTGCCTTCCAAGAATTAAAGTTGATATGACCGAGCATGGCAGCACCAGAAGAGGTCGTGATAATGCGCGCATGGTGGTCCGGAGATGATTGGGCGCCAGCAAAGAGTGCGGGCATGAGCAATTCGGTGAACAGGAAGTGGCCTGTGGAAATATGGGCATGCATGAGTGGACGATGATACATGAAGCGTAGAGAGCATGCCTATGACGTTAGTGCCGAATTGCAGGTCGTACCCATCCGCGGTAAGCTGTTCTTTGGGAGGGGTCATGACGCCACTGCAATATGCTTACTTCACTCCGACATGCACGTATGGTTACGGACATACGCACGCGTTATTAAATAGCACATGCAGCTCCTGTTCCTTGCTGCCCACGGTACATCAGCGCCTCGCTATATGCGCTGATAGTTTAACCGACCGAGAGCACTCAACTCACCTTAGGAACTCATCAGCAGCCCTCCGCACCGACTTCAAGTCACCCAAGTCCAGCTCGAGAAAAATCGGTTCCTTGCCCGTTTCCTCCTTCAGACGTGCAACGGCTACCTCAGCGCGCTGTTTGCTGCGCGAAGCCATGTACACTTTGGCATTATGCTCCAGGAGAGCCTTGATCGTCTCCCAACCAATGCCGGTATTTCCGCCTGGGTCGTCATCAAGCCAGAGAGAACGACATGATGAAAGTACGAAACGTACCTGTGACCACAATCACATGGCCCGTGAGGTCAGGCATCTTACTTGTAGTAAAGTCGCCTCGAAGGAAGAAAACACGCCAGAACAAGACGGCGGCATAGTACACTTCTGATAGGATCCCCATGCTGAATGTCAAGGATAGTGAGAAGGATATGATGATTTGTGAACGAGGAATTGCACAGGGCTTCGTCTGTCAAATGTGAGGCAGAAGTAGTCTCCTGTTGCGTTGTAAAGACAACACTTTTATTCTATGCCTTTGCCGATCGGATCAGGATTTCGAGCAAGCCGTGATATATACGTACACGCAACATAACTTGATACCCGTTGACAAAGGCAATAACTTTGACTACTAAACCGATACACTCCCATATTTGATTTCGCCAAATGACTCCTCACATCAACTAAGTCTTGCGACCTGGCTGCATAGATCCCTTATATCATCGTCATGGAAGCGTCGTACTTACAGAATGCAGGCTGCAGTGTTTGCCAGTGCCTGTAGCGTAACCAAAAGGCGAAAAGATACTCGGCTTGCAATTACTAGGTCCAAGCCATCAATCCTTATATGGTCTTAGCATCCTGGCATGGCAACTCCTATTGTGAAGGACAAATCCTGGCGGCATTCGACTCCGCGAACCGATGAATCAGGTGCCGGATAATGGTTCGGGAGATATATGCTAGTCACGGCACTGCTCTCTCAGATAAACTCTCCGCGATCCCGCATGCCTTCATATGGCACGACACACCCTCGAGCCAAAGCCAGAAACATAAACGCAACAGAAGAGCCTAGCAATGTACACGATACGCTGATGTCCAAGCATCGGCCTTCATTCCGCGTCTCATGATGACAGCCCACCTAGCTTCAATGCCCCTTCACCTCCTCCTCGAGCCTCTCCCATACCTTCTTGCCAAGCTCGTCATCGTACACCTCCGCGCGACATTTAGCGACTTGTGCGGTCGGGACCGCGAACTGCATAAAGCGATAATTTACTCTCCATCCCACCGTGAAGCAAACAGGAGCAGGATGCGTACCTCTCCATTGGCATTGATCGCCTCGGGCATCGTCCCCGCCCACAGTTGCGTAAGCGCGCCGAAAGGCGTCGGGCGCAGAAGGAGCTTTAACTATTGCGCCAGGTATGTCATGAACATCGACCCGCTGGAGTGCCCCGAAGCGGACAAGAAGAGACGCACCACGATGCTTATGAGCAACCCTTCGACCCCGGTGCGCTGCCT